GGCTGAACCACAGAACCATCAGGTCGAGGTTGAGAATCAGGCTCAACTGGCTGAACCACAGAACCATCAGGTCGAGGTTGAGAATCGGGCTCAAGCGGCTCAACCAGAGAACCATCAAATTGAGGTTGAGAATCGGGCTCAAACGGATCAACCACAGAACCATCAAATTGAGGTTGAGAATCAGTCTGCTCCAATGCATCGAAATCAACCTGAAGGCTTCTCCTCAGAAGTGGAATCATAGCAGCCATGTCGTCATCACCCTGGTTAGGTGGCTGCGCCCCATTCTCGACCAAATCATCCGCAACCATCTCATTCCCCAACTGGTACCTGGAGGTGTGGTGGAGGTATGGGTAAGGAGGGAAGCACTTGTCCAAATTTAATCGAGAAAACTAGAACACATACTAAAAAGACAATAGAGTAATTTTATGTTTGCTGTCGAAACACTGTGAATCAGCATCCTTTGCGGCAGCTGCAGTGTCAACAGGCTGTGCAAAGGCTTGGGACAAACTCGTTCTCACCACAAAGAGAGATGATGATGATGATGATTGTGCTTGTAGTAGACGTCGTGGGGAATCATGAATCCACCGGGTCGAAGGTTTCTTCTCTTCATGATCATGTGCTTTTGGTGGTTTCCACATCCCATGAGCAGACGGCAACTCATAGTCCATCAGCTCATCATCCACCACAATTTGGGTTGATAGTGTCGTCATGGGGGCACAGGGTAAAAAGCGAGTAAGTGCTCAGGCAAGGAAACGATGATTCTAATTCGAACCAAACAAAGAGGCACAACCATAAGGTTGAACTTGTTTGGACAAATCGTGACAAACCATGACAAACCGAATAAGTGATCCACGTGGGATTGGCAAATAGATTCACCATTGATCTTTCAGAACGGCGAATGTCAGCAACGCATTTTGTTCACCTTCAATGCTCTGCTATGGATTTGAGTCGCAAAAGCAACCCATCTACGAATGCGCATGTGGTTCACATGCAATGCCCCAAGACACTAGGTGTTCACACAAGTGTCATCCCACACCCTGCGCTTCAGCAAGGCAGCCAAAATGCGGGAGCAAACATGTCACTTAGACAAGTCTCTTGCAGACATCCTTCTCGAGCTTCAGCTCCCCAGGTAGGAACCAAAGGGGCTTAGCCGCTGCGATGCACTTTTCTGTTGCGTAGCGACGAAGGCGCCACACCTCACGAAAAGAAACACATAGAAAAACATCACAAACCACTCACACAGGTTGCCAAAGTTTCAATTTCACATCCCTCAATTCAAAACACATTGGGTTGAAAATTGCTTGAACCACTTTCTAGGCGCAAGTTTCAGCGGGCTCTCATCCAGCAGATTGAATGCGAAATGTGACGCTACATTGGCAGCCTTGAAGCTCTTCATCTGAATGGCATTGGGCCTCCACAGGAGCTCATTCTCGGTGTCAGGAGCAATATCGAACTTGTCGTCGGACTGACCCTGCTGTACTGCAGGAGGCCGTTGGCAGGTGTGTCCACCTAAAGTATACTCGATCATTCCTTTCCGTTCCACCTCTTGCAGCGCGGATCTCAAAGTCATCACGGGACCGTCCGAGCCATCCTCCTCCCAAGGTTCATATGGGATCAAAATCAAAGCAAGAAATTGGAGAACAGGGGCCCTGTTTGGCCAGCAACTAGCTGATTATAGTTGATTCGATCTGATGCAACTGAAACCATCATCTCATTTGCATTATCTAGATTCTTTTTGAAGGCTAGGTCCTCAATGCATACCAGCGGCTCATCGTCAGTCCACGAGCACGGGATGCCTTTGTTCGGACTGCTGGCGCTGAACTTGCGAGCCTTGTCCCCAATGAGCCACACCCCTGCACCGTGCATGATCAGAGGGGCCTCCCACGGCTTTAGGATTGTCACCTCCTTGGCTAAGAGGTAGAGGGTAGGTCCTGGCCCCACAAGGAAAGTCGTGTTCTGAATACCAGGCATCTCGGTCAGGTTCTCTGCCCCATGCTTTGCCTGGAGCTTGTCCAGGCTTGTAGGCTCTCCAGGAAAGACCGCGTCCCAATCAAAGCCTTCAGACTTCACCTCCCCCTCAGCAGTCCCCTCAGCCTTTGCCACATCGTTTGATGGTGCCGGATTGGATGTGACTGGTCCATCGGCTGCCACTCCATTTGTTGACCATTGCTGGTCAAACTTCACAAGCAGCTCTCGCCATTCCGGGGCCCACACCGGGTCCTGCAAGAACATCTGCCTTACATCCCGTGGCAGCAGCAGCTTTTGGTTGTCAATCTGACACACCCGGAGGGTTGGCTTCTCAACCTTCTTGGGAAGATCTTCCTGCGCCACATCTTTCTTGTAGCGAGGTGTTTGGCGATCCATGGGGGCAGCCGATGTCTTCCAAGCCTTCCAGGATTTGTTTGGTTTATGGAAGGTTAACTTTTCACAACACGTACCAATATGTACAAACATGTGTTTTCACAGATGAACAGTTGAATCAATCAGTTCAAATGACCCCAATATACCCCACTCCTTGAGGAGGTGTGTCTTGACCACATCCTGTGCACACTTGTGATGAGCTTCCACAGACGACGACCCTGCGACAGCAAAGCCCAGCTGAAGCCCAGCCAGTTCCACTGCGCCATCATAGCATGTAGGGTGCACCACCACCACACCATCGCCACTCTTCATCTCACCTTGTGTGTTGCAATTTTGCACTGTTCCGAAAAGCTGTTGAGACAATGTGATTTGTGTATTTTTTGTGTAATGTCTTTGCTGGCAGTTGGTAATACACACTAAGCCAAGGGAATGGAACCACCAACAAAATTGGTAATAAAACACATCAATTGAATTAATCCAAGGAACCACACAGGTTTGAAAGAATCGCCTTTGGCACTGCAGGCCCGCCAAGCCACTGCGATGTTTCCTGGAAATCTGTGTAGTTGCGCCTCGAGTCGTTGCAGTGTAGGGTGTCTCCAGGCACAATGAAATCACCTTCCTGCAATGCAGCCGGAAATGTGCCACTCGCCAGCGCCTGTCGCAACCAAAGGTGGCTGCTGCAGAACCTTTTCTGGGAAAAAACAAATGAAAGCCCAGATGAACCCCAATCTAAATAGAACCAGTCAGAGTTTTGCCACACAAAGCCTCAACTAAAAACATGAACTGAATACAGTAAGACTAAATAGAAAATATCTGTAGAAATACCCAGACACACATTGATGTCCTTCTTGTCAACCTCGGGATTGCCCCTGACACTTCTATGGGCCGTCCCTTTTGTAGGGAGAGATGAATCCGGCACGCCCAAGAAGCAAACGAAAGCTGAAGGCAGCTCCCTGTTTTTATGCAGGTCATCCTGGTTCAGGTTCAGGGTCCACGGCCTGAGCTCTACCTTCACCGCAAGCAGCTTGTCCTCCAACTTCCTTCAATCAGAATACCCCTAGGGAACATTGGGAACATATTGGGAACCGTTGGGAACATTAGGGGAACATTGGGAACAATCCTAACTTCCAAAACACTCAAACGCAGCACAAACTTCCAAACCACTCCTCCAATCCTTCCTCAAAGACCCTGCTGCGTCTGATCCAACCAACAGAGGCGGTATGAGAACCAGGATCGAACCTTGGTTGGCGCCAAAACCTCAAAACAAAAGTTGGGAACACACACACACACACCATCATCAGCACCATCATCATCATAATCATCTTATTCTTAACCATCATCATCATCATCATCATCATCATCCTCATCATCATCAAACACACGATCACCCCATATTCAGTGTTTACGTTGTTGTTTTCATTTCTCCTCTTTACACTCTGCTTTACAAAAAAATCAGATATATTCAGATTGTATTCATAAAACTAGTATATATGTTTTTGAGATGTAAACAACATTAAACAACATATAAAAAGCTGGGCCACGGGAAGGGTTGCGAAAGAGCACCGACTCCGCGAGGTCACCGATCATGTTGATCTCTATTTGGCTCACTACCCCAAGCTTTGTGCAGTCGATGTAAAGCACAGTTCGCAGTTGGCCCACTTCAACCTCCAAGGTGGATAGATGGTGGATAGCAAGATTGATAGATTTACATGGTGACAGAGGAATCGGAATTTGAATCGGACATTCCATGTTTTAGACAAACCCACGCACCTTTCGCTGCAATGCAGCACTGCGGTAGATATGCTCCAGCTTGGAATCCAAAGGCGCACTCTGGGTGGTGAAGGAAACCCGACAATACTTTTCCATGTGGGCTTCACACAGCCTCAGCGTTTGAAATAGTTGAGGGAACATGAGTATTGTTCACCGGGTTCCTTCCCACACATGGGTTGCTTTTGTTTTGGTGTGCTTTCCTTCCCACACCCGAAATCCACAAACACGTTTAATTTGATATGTCAAGGGACGATTTGCCGATCTGTGCTTGGGCCTTTTCATGCATGACCATGACAACATGGGCCCTCCTTTCAGTTTCTGCTAGCTGGACGTTGTGGATGGCCATGTCAGTCATGTCCTGCACGATCTTTGCCTTCACTTCACGAAATTTTGCCGCAGCTGCAAGGTCTTCCATTTCCATCAGCTCTGCGGTGGTGCAAGGCTTCACCGGGGTGGCTGGGGGCTCGATGAGGTCCACCCACAAGCCCAGATGGGTGAGTTTCCATGAAGAGAGCTTAGAAGCAACCACTGCTTCCACATCAGACATGTAGTCCCTCAGATTGACAGGGACCCACAGGGCACATGTTGGGGGGACGATAGAATCCCAAAGTTTTTACTACTGGCTGGTTTTTAGAAATGTGTGATTTCTTTGGCAAAGAAAAAATGAAAAATTGATGATGACGTCAAGAAACTTCTGGAAAAAGGCCTTCATGACCAGGGCCTCTTTTTCCGGAGTCCAGGTGGACAGCAATCGGGCATCTGCCAAGGCGGTGGCGTACATGCACGCAAAGTCAGCGTAGTTCTCGAACTGAGTTGAAGAAAGGCGCATTCGCGGGCGAGCTGCAGGGCGCAAACGCCTTCCTGCCTCCACGTAGGAGTGGACCACCAGCTGCAAATGCATCTTTTGGGACTCATTGCTCACGGTCAAGCATCTCTTCAATTCAGGCGGACACCCTTGAGCTTTGGGGCTGGCGCCCAAAAGCCATCTTTGCCCCCGGAGTTGTTCTGTTGAGAAAGCGCATTCTCTCCATTTGCTGTGGTCCAAGTGGCACCGCATCACAGCCCGGCTCTCCTTGGTTCATTTAGTGCTGGGCAGTTGAAGGCTCACAGAATTGCCATGCATAGAAGGTTAAAAGCCAACAAGAGCATGCAAACCACATCGAGAACATGCAAAAATATGCAAAATCAGCTGGGGTACGGAGCATGTCCCGGCCACAATGTTGTAGACCGACTTGATCTTCTCGTCGTCCAAGCGGTGCTTCGCCTGAAGTCCTGGAGACATGTGAAAGCTGTAGATCACATCCCTGAGCCGATCCTCGGTGCTCATTCCACTGTGGTGTTCGCCGTTGTTGGCACGCTCCTCCATCACCACCGAAAATCGCAATGCGAGCTGCAATGTGTTTGGAGGCTGACGTTCGCTTCCACGGTACGATAATGTCAGGTTCCTGAACGAACGTGCTGCTGCGTCCATTCCCATGGTAACCTTGGCTTGGCTCAATGGCACATAGTCTTCAACTATCTTCAACTGTTAAAAAAGACACAGCTGGGTGGTTCCACATGGTTTCCAAGAGAATGCACGCGCAGCCAAAGGACATGGCAAGGAAGAAGCCATGCTTTGTCCAGAACTTTGAACAGCGGCTTCAGGATCTCCTGGTTCTTTGGCTCTGACAAATCGAGTTCACTGGCGGCGAGCAAGAAGGTTGCCACCACGGTAGATCGTGTCCAGCCTTTCACTTGATCCACACTTTGCACTCCACATTTCCAGGATCCTGCAAGGACTTGGAAACCGGTTTTTGACAAATTGTGTTTTTTGTTGATTATAAACGATATAAACGTTACTTGCTAAAAATAGGATTGGTGACCTTTTGTGTCAAACGTTTTTTCAAAAACCCCAGACCTGTCTCTGGCTGCATTGATACATCCAGAGGCTCACGTTGCAAGTCAACACCTCCAAATAACATGGATTCGAAACATCCCACCCAGTCGTCTGTGCACGGCAGGCCGTCATCCGGCGCAGTAAACCTCATTTGAACACACAGCTGAAGGCTTTATCGACGAACTCTTTAAAGGCAAACCAAATAATAACTAGTTGGTAACCCTGGGACCCTGGACAGTTTCGCAAGGGTCATTGAATCCAAGAATCCGAAGACAAGTGATGGGAATCTTGATGGTCTCACCATCCATGCCACAGTCCATGTCCTTGATGTTGGTTTCAATCTGATCAACAAACTACACTATCCTAAACACTCCTAAACTATGTTTGGACGATGGGATAGTTTCCCTATTCCTGGGGGAGGGGGCTTGAAACAGAAATGGAAATTGTCTTTGCCTTTGCCCCATTCAATTGAGATTCCTGTCCAGAGGGCTTGAAAAGCGAAGGCAGACCACGGAGTGCAGCGTAGTCACTGTACCATGTCTCAAGCTGCTGGCAATGCAACTTTGCTTGGGATGCATCCTTCCCTCCCAACAAATCCAAGACCAAACCTGCAGGATGGGCGCCATTCTCAGTAGACTCTTGATCCCTGAAGGATACTCCGAACTGGTATAGCTCCTTCCCAGGGTTTCAGAAAAACACTTGATACGGATATGGTTATGATATGATTATATTTTATATATTTTTGCTTGGGGCGATCCAACATCTAGTGAAAAATATATGAGGCATCCGGTGAATTCATAGGGGGTCCTTGACCAAGCTCGTATCACCATCCATCTTGGCGAGTTGCTTGTCATATGCTGAGCATCCTCGCTTGGCTGGAGGTGACTCGGTGCTTCCATCATCCTTGGCCTTCACGAGCGTGGCACGCTCCTCAGCCTTTGACTTGAACGGGGTGATTGCTGTTGCCATGACAGCAAGTGTTTGCCCCCCTGATGCACTATTTGATCCTGGAAATTTAGCAAATAATCGATTGAAAATGATGTCACTTCCCCAAGATGAAATCAACTGACTCTCCAGCGTTTGATCGATTGAAAACCCTATGTTTTCAGACCTAGGGATTGAAACTCTTTTTGGTTTTCCACTTGAATATCAATCCTCGACCTTCAAAATCAAGGTTTTCAACTGACTCCCCCACGTAGAGACGATTGATTTTAGATACAGATTCTGGAAAAAAATCAACTGACTATTTGCTAATTTTGTTCGCTTTTGGGATTTTGAAAATCAATCGACTCTACGCCGTATGATCAGTTGAAACTGCCTCCTGCCTCAACCATGGTCCATCGAAATCCACCGCCGGACAGTAGCCGGTACATCGACTTTGGGTGTGGGGAAACCTGTCGTCCATCGAAAACTTGAATCGAGCCCCCCCCAGTCCATCGAAAATCCGATCCGCCCCCCCCCCCAGTCCATCGAAAATCCGATCCGGCCGACCCCCACTCCATCGATTTCTGAAAAGCGAGGGCGTGAGTCCATCGAACATGTTGTGACACTGGCTGTCCATTGGATTGTCTAATTGAGGATTCTTCCCTGGAGGTGAAGCAATTACTTATTGTTTAATGGGCTGCTAGCAGCCTGATTTATCCGACAGAAATGCAATGTTTCTCAACCCCCACGGGAAAAGACTGCCCGAAGTGGGACTGCCGGCGCCAAGGCGTTCAAGACAGCCTGCTGCATCAAGTACCGTGGCTCAGCCACGGGTCTGGGGGCATCATTTTCCTGGTGCCAAGGAAGGGGGAGGAGGTCAGAATCCCTCCAAAAGACGTTGTCGGAAAGTCCATCCAAGTAGTCTATAGCCCTCTGGTAGGTGTGCCCATAGAATTGTTTGACATCTCGAGAGAGCTTTCGCCAACTCTCTGCCATCCTCTCGGTATGGTTGTTGACTCGCCTTGGTATCAATCTAAAGACACTGATGTGAGATAAGGGTACAGTTCGGTTGAGCTGCCAACCAACGAGTCACCACATGAAAAACGTTGCAGTAAACTGACAAAGATATAGGTTTGGCCATAGGACCCTTTGCCGTATGGTTTGCCAAGTTGCTTGGTATCAGGAACCATTACAAATCCAGACGCACGATGGTTGGTTAGCACGAGCAGTGGATCCTGTGATAGCTCTGGGTCACAGATGTGACGCTTGATGAAGCATATGACGTCGTGATCGGATGGGGGTCCTCTCCAAGATCCATGGTCTATGCACCGCTGCAATGATGGTGGGACATCTGCAGGGCACGTACATACAACCACGCAAAAGTCTGACTCTGATTTGTTTTCCTAGGTGTCCTTGAAGTTTAGAAACGTGCTCTGTTAAAACAATCACGTGTAGAAAAACACTGCGCAACTGCAACTCCACATGGTTTAAAAGAATGTGTTTTGTTTTGGCATTGTAGCTCCTCGGCGTTGCATGCTCAAGAACATATGATTCCCTGTATCATCTCGGAGCAGCCCGCCCTCCAGCTTCACGCCAAGGCTCGGAAGGTGCTGCCTCCAGTCCCGCGTGCAGTTGAGCTTTGAGACCAGGACTTTGGTCTGTGGCCCCAGCCAGTCCTTGATGCTGGACTTTGTCAATTCATCCTTGACCGCTGCTATCACATCGGTATCATTCTGAAGGGAATCTTCATTGCTCACACGTCTGGAGATGATGCCCCAGCATTGGTCTTAGTTTGGTGTCACAGGGCTGAACAAAACAGGTTTGCTTTCCAGGTTTGCATTTGGGTGACAAACCAAAACAACAAGTTTCACGAAAATTGGTGCTAAAGTCGGCTAAAGTCAAATCAGTTCACCTATGCGACAGTGGGTGTGGGACTTCCGTAAGTGTGCCAAACAGCACAGCTTTAATCGATGCTTGGCCACCAAAAGATGTAAATACGTCAGGCAAAATTGATTCTTGGCCTCGCGGACTGTGTTGTCCGCCTCTGTTCAAGGTGGTAAAGGTACACCAACAATAATGGGCCTGGTTTCCACACCAAAACAGAAAGCAAAAAAGACTCTCGAATTCAGGTTGGAGCCACATTGATCAGCACACAAGACGGACGGGGACGATGCTGCTCATCACAGATCCGGATCACCTAACACTAAAGAGATAAAGAAAACCAACAATAACACTATAGAATACTATAGAGATAAAGTAATGGGACAAATCATTAAACATAGTGAAGAGAGTAGTGAAGAGGCTGAGAGGATTGGACCCGTTTTTGGCCCTTTGAATACCACCCACGATCACCCAAAACACATATTCTCATCATAGCAAGTCACATCTTCCAGTGTTGCCGACAACATCTCTATTATGGCTGACGAGTCATGGGCGGCGTTCTCGTCTAATATATACACATTGAGGCAGAACCCGAATGCCCAGGCCCCGTGCACCTTGATGCGTGGACGCTGGTGTTTGCTCCTCAGCCGGACACGGCGAGTTTGGTATGGGAATATCTGTTTGGAAAGCAAAGTGCTACACACAGCATTCGAGGGGCAACTAACAAATGTGAGTGTTCCTTTGAATCCAAATGTCAGTGCCGCAGAACACCGGAGTTGAGCGTCCCGTGGGAGGGCGAATTTGGACTGATCTAGTCCGTCTGTTGATATAATCAAAAAGTCAGTATGTGGATCTGCTGATTCTTGCTGCAATTTCCAAATCACCGTTCGGTCACAAAATTGATCATACAGGTGTCGCCGATAGAGTTGCAGGCTTCCCAACTTCTGATTCATCGAGACCGTTTTGTCATTCAGTTGCTTCTTCAGGGTGGAGCAGACTTCGCACTGGCTAAATAAGCTCCGTTGCCTAAAGCGCAAGATGTCGGACCAGCGCTTTTTGTAGATCGTGTTGAACGTTCCATACCTGATGAATGCTTACTGTAGATTTTAACACCAACTTGACAATTCCTCTCTTCATCAACCCATTAGTTTTCCATTGAACATATACACCATTATTTTCCAAGATACGACACACAGTGACAGCCCAGCATGGTTTGGGTTGCACGGTAATGTTCGTATAGGTCAGCGATGGTTCCAGGTGGCAGAAACTTCTGTACCAAGCTTTCGTGGGGGACCAAACCACGGGTACTGAAACTTTGAAGCGACAACCACTCCCGAAGTTCATCAACATTGTCCACATCTGATGCTATTTCCTCAAAGTCAGAGGGATCAGGGTCATCCAGATCGATCTTCCTCCGCGCTGCCCTTCCACGTCTGATGAACCTAGGCTGAACGCTTGGGCGAAGTCTGGCATTGATTACCTCAAGACCTTTTCCAAGGCGCCCCAACGAGAAGTGATTGATTTCTGGGAAAACTCTGAGAGTAGTTTGCTGAAGTTGAGGGACTGGTCAGGAAGGGTTTCGGCGATGGAATCGTAGGCTACTTGCAGGAAACCATCTACGGTCCATGAACCCGGTCTTGATTGGTAGGCCCGTTGACCATGGCGGAGGTCAGGTGCCCCTGATGTAGACTTTCGAACACGGGAATGCCCGACTCCAAGCAATGTGGCCAAGCACTTGAAGCCAACTGGTTTGTCCAAGAGTTTGCACTCCACCCGGCCAGGAGCACCATCACAAAATGCAAGTCGCATCTCGGTCGGGATTCCAAGGTTGCAAGCAATCAACTATGCGCTGATATTATTTCGATTTATTTCCATTGAAAAAACACAAAAAGCTGTACCGTCATGGTTGCACCTAGATACCAAAGAATCTTGATCCCTCTTCGCCATTCCCCAGAACTTTGTCAAGAAAGACGGAAGCTCCTTGGAGCCTGTGAACTGCTTGTAGCACTCTTTGTTGGCACCTGGGCGACCACCACGAATGAGGGGTGAGGATTATGAAGGCCACAAAGAGCAGGATAGTGCAGCCCACAATAAATATACAAACCTTTACCAACGCAAATGCAAGGGACACTGACACTGTTGAAGGTTGAGAAGCTTCTGTAACCTCCCTGGGTCCAGGCCATTCTTTTTGTAGGTATCTTGAGACTCCAGTCTAGCATATTGAGCTGAAGCTTGTCGCTTTGTGTTGTCATACTTTCGCTTGGGTTTCTGTTTCATAGGATCATCCATATTGTCTTTCCAGAATGTAGCATCCTTTAAAGATGACAAACTGTGCCAACCCAACGCAAACACCGAATCACTCTTTGGAACATAGTCCTGCTCACTGCCCATATCGTCATCGCTGCTTGGCAGGTTGAATAGGCTTGAATCAGATTCATCGGGTTCAGGACCAAAAACTTGAGTAGGCCTAGACGAAGAGGATCCTCCTACCTGTCGTTGCGAC